TGAGATTGTTTTCGGAGGTAAGATGCCCGACGTATTAGCAAACCTCGTACCACAGGCTTGTGTGCCATCCAGACCGTTGTGGGCGATACCTCGGGCGTCTCATTTTCCTCGAAATACCGCTTCATGTCTGTGGTCAGATCGGCCACAAACTGCGGATTTAAAAGGAGAGAATCATTGATTCTCCATGGGCTGCGGTGTTTGAAGTCATACATGTCTTTCCCCTGCAGAAGTACTGGTGCATGGTCTGACCATGTAATGTGTGCTATGTCACAACTCAGGATTTGGTTAAGGTAGGATCCCTGGAGGAGGAAACCATCAATTCTAGAGTACGAATTGTGAACAGGTGAAAAGTGTGTGTATGCTCTCTCGGAGGGGTGTGTGATCCTCCAAGTGTCGTAGTAGTGGTAGGTGTGCAGCAGGGACTGGATGGCTTTGCCCTGACGTCTAAGGGTTTTATATCTGCTACTAGCTCGGTGTATGGTGGAGTCCATGGTTGGGTCAAGCACGTGGTTAAAGTCACCACAGACAAGTGTTATACCTTGCTGTATAGGTACTAGTGTTTGAAAAATTTTGTGTAGGAAGTTCCTCTGATTTTGATTGGGTGCATAGATATTCGCGATGGTGTACTCTATGTCATTTATCGTTCCCACTATCACCACGTATCTGCCTAGTTGATCTATGTGCTGCGATTTTAGGGAAAAGGAGACATGTCTGCTTATCAATATGGAAGTACCTTTAGCTTTAGTTGGGGAAGTGGAATGGAATTGGTGTGGATACTCTAACTCCATAATCTGGGGGTGGTCCTTAGTACGGAAGTGGGTCTCCTGTAAGCACACCACTTCTGCGCATTGTTTCTTAAGCTCCCGGTACAGTAAGTGTCTTTTTGTCGGGATGTTCAATCCCCTCACATTATGTGTATATATTTTCATGTGGGGTCAGACATGTAGGGTTGTGCTGAGTATTGCGAGTGTTTGTTGGTTGTGGGGTGCCCCACTCCTCCCAGTGCTATCAAGCAGAGCAAGGCAGCCCCTAGAATCTGTAGTGACTTCTCATAGGTGACAGTATATACCTTATCTTGGAAGTTAGGGGTGAGACCACCCACCAGGTCCCCATCCCAGCCCCCAGCAGTGTTGGCAACAGGCCCTCTCCCGCTGAGTACTTTAACAGAACAAAATAACCAAACAACAACAAAAGTATTTACAAAATAGGACCATGCCCTTTGTGTGGCTTGGCACTTCATCCAAGTGCCTTGGGGGTAGAAGCTCGTCGCTCCTTTGCCTGGGAAGTTACTTGCGCTCCGCGCTGGCCTTATGTCTGTGGCAGTATTTATCTTATTGGGTTTTTTTTTTTTTTTTTTAGGTTGTGTAACCCCTGTTCTAGTTGACATGGTGCGGCGTAGTTACCTCTAAGGGATCTCAATCCTTTCAATACACAGAGTGATCGCTGCTTACTACACCCTGATATCTAACTCACACCCCTAATGATTACTAGGGTGTTAGCTAGCTACGTGGTAATCGTCGGGAAGTAGCCCTCACATTAGCATAAACATTTACACATTATGGTACTTGCGGCTCAGCAAAGTCTGTGGTCGTGGGCAGGGCCGTCTATAATATGATTAGGACCCTGGGCAATGCATTTTCTTGGGCCCCATGGGCCCTGTCCCTGCCACTGCCTCACCCCCCAATTACGTCCAACCCGCAATCACACTGACAGACGTACTAGCACATACACACACAGACAGACATTAAAACATTCACAGATACATACTGACACACAGTCACTACACACAAATATATACTGGCAGACATACTGACACACACACAGACATACATACATACATACACAGACACATACATTAACAGATATACTGACACACACACAAACACATACACTGACAGATATACTAAAACACACAGACACATACATTGACATACACACAGGCATACTGACATACACACTGACACACACACACAGGCATACTGACATATACACAGACAGACGTAATGGCTGATACAGACAGACATTAAAACATTCACAGATATATACTGACACACACATACACTGACATACAAATATATCCTGGCAGACATACTGACACACACACACACACACAGACATACATATATACATACACACACAGACACATACACTGACAGACATACTGACTGACACACACATACACACACAGACATACTGACACACAAAGACATGCTGACACACACACACAGACATACTAACATACACACAGACAGACGTACTGGCACATACACACAGACAGACATTAAAACATTCAGAGATACATACTGACACACACATACACTGACACACAAATATATCCTGGCAGACATACTGACACACACATACACACACATACAGAGACATACCTACATACACACACACACAGACATACTGGCATACACACAGACATACTGACACACACACACACACAGACATACATACATACATACACACACAGACACATACACTGACAGACATACTGACTGACACACACATACACAGACATACTTACATACACACACAGACAGACATACTGACATACACACAGACAGACGTACTGGCACATACACACAGACAGACATTAAAACATTCACAGATACATACTGACACACACATACACTGACACACAAATATATCCTGGCAGACATACTGACACACACAGAGACATACCTACATACACACACACAGACATACTGGCATACACACAGACATACTGACACACACACACAGACCTACTGACATACATTTAGCCACCCCCCAGGTTCTTACCTTTTCCTGGAGGGTGGTTTCCCTGGTCCAGTGGCAGGCTGAGGCAGATGGGAGTTCTCTTCTGAAACTCCCCTCCTCCCTGCCTTCCTCCTCCCGCGCGGGTATCTCCGGTGGGAGGAAGTGACGTCACTTCCTCCCAGCCGGCTGCAGAACCGGAAGAGGGGCCCGGTCGCGCTGTTTAAGCGCCACAGCACCCGACCGGGCCCCTGCTGACACATGCTCCCCGGGTGGCCCTTAGTGCATGGGCCACCCGGGGAGCCTCCTCAGTGTGCGGGAGCCGCACCGCCCGGTCCGTAGGGGCTGCGCAAATCGCGGGGCCCACAGAGCAGCTGCTCTGGGCCCCCAGGAGCAACTGGGCCCAGGACAGCTGCCCCGTTTGACCCGCGTTAAAGACGGCCCTGCTTGAGCTGTATGGTGGCTCAGAGGAGAAACAGCAGGCACAGGACACTGTGACGCAGGCACAGGTAGTCTCACATAAACATACTACAGCCCCATATCCCAGCAGACTCCAGGTAAGTTGTCAAACTGTTCTTAAACGGTTTGACTACTTACTCTGGGAGGGGGTCACGACACTCCTGGCAC